TGAGCCTGCAACCCTCGAAGCGCTAGCTTGCCGGGAGGCGCTTGCGCTAGCCTCAGACTTGGCTTTGACCGATTTCATAGTTGCTTCTGACTGCCAAGGTGTGGTAAATGATATCAAGCATGGCACGGGAGGGTCTTATGCAAGCACGGTCAAGAAGATTGTTGACACATCAAGAGATTTTCATCAATGTACCTTTATCTTCGAAGGTCGAACAACCAATATCGAGGCACACAGTCTCGCTAAACATGCTTTCGGTCTGGATCTAGGGCGCCATCTGTGGCTAATAAACCCTCCAGACATTCATTGTATCCCTATGAACTTATTTGATCAATAAAGTGTGTTTAGACTCAAAAAAAAAAGTTGGCGAACTCCTCCTACTAGGCGCCGAGGTGAGTAGGCTACGTACGAGCTGCAGCCTTATCCCGTTTCGGAAAACCCTCGGCCCGCCCCGCCTCTCTCTCTCGTGTCTCCAAGCGATCCAGCAACGGAAGAGAGGAAGGAAACGAGCACATCCGTTGATCCTAACCAACCAAACAACCAACCCCAGCTCGACGCGGGGTTTGGGGGGTGAAAACTTGTCGCTCACACACACGGCGGCCGACGGCGACGAGCGGGACGGGCCAGCCGCTCTCTCGCCCTCGATTTTGCGTGCGCGCACAGCACAGCACACAGACAGACACATACAGAGGTGAGGCGCGCCAGGACGGGAATCGCTTGCTTTCCGCTGGACGCAAGCCGTGGCGAGTTTCGCGGCGATCTGTTCGCTGTTGGCACGCGCTCGCTTCCTTGGTGCATCAAAACCCGGCCAAGACCAAGGCGGTGCAGCAAGGAAAAGGATGCGAGGATCAGCAGGAATCTTCCAACCATTCCTTTTCTCTTTTTTGTGAAACAATCATTCATCCATCTATTCATTCATTCAGAGTAGTCCTGCTGCGACACATGGAAATATTTATTCAAATTTAGAGTAGTAGTAGTAGTTTATTACGGACGTCCGCTTGGCGAATATTCTGGGCTGCCCCTTAAAAAACAAGGAAAGGCTAAGCTAGACTCATGAAAACTAATATCGTGGGTGGGTCCCTGGGCTCCCGGAACTCGGATTGGATCATTAGCTGTCCAAGTCGCACAGCCGCAGTGACGTCACAACTTTAGGCTCCACCAGCAGCGGTACCTTTTCTCCTTCGAGGTCCCTCCCCTCCCCTAGCTATAGTTTAACTCCTCGTCAATGATCGCATCGCAGGGAGGAAGAGGGTGGTCTAAACAAACAAAGATGGTCAGGAAGGGTAGGAGGGTGCATCACCCATGTTGCCCCTAAGGATCCTCAATTTGTTTATTTATTTCCCCAAGGATTTGGTTAATTAATCCGATGTGGATGTCCAGATGCAGGTTGCTTTCAGTCTGTTGATTAGGGCGCGGATTTTGCACCCATTTTATCCGGTGATTTGACAAGACACAGCCAGTGGCGGTTGACGTGGGGCCTCTTCGTTTCATATTTTCTTTCACTTTTGCTTAGGTACACCCCCAATACAAGGACGGCCGAGATCGCACGATACCTTTTCGATACATATTTAGAAAAGTCTTCCCCGCCTCCCCGTATACGCGTACGTCTTGTTTTTTTCTCCGCTGGACCACGCGCACCCTGGACGACCCGCAGCCCACGTACCCTTTTTTTTTCTAAACTGATGCAAAAAATAAAATGCGACGACAAGGATTCGAGCCCGCGCACTAGCGTTCAAGTGTGCCACGCCATAACCACCACGCCATGCCCCATTCTGCGACCAAGTGCATTTTCTGAACCCTTTTCTTCTTTCCTTTTGTTTATTTTCTAATTCGACGAAAAAAGCGCGCGCTAACTGGGAGCTCCTAATCCGCGCGCGCATTAAGCGCCGGTTGGCGCTTCTGGCGCTCGCAAGCGACGGGAAGCGGGCCGGCCCAAAAAAAGGAGGGCGCCCAACAGAAAAATTAAAATCAAATTGGCACGGCGCTCGCAAGCGACGGGAAGCGGGCCAGCCCAAAAAAAGGAGGGCTCCCAACAGAAAAATTAAAATCAAATTGGCACGTGCGCCGTCACTCGATCCGCCGACCTCCTGTCCCAAGTTACACCGCGCTAACCACTCGGCCACAACGGCACATACAGTAGGCTTAATCACTTAATTTCCTTTTTAGGTTCTTCTTTCCTTTTTCGTTTTTTCATTTTTCTTTTCTGTTTTTTCTTTTTTCTTCCTTACATGATGAATTTTTCCAAACTCGTGAACTCTTTTCAAATGGATGAATTTTTTTCATTTTTGATTGAAAAAAAGTTCATCGGATTTGAAAAAATTTCACAAATTTGAAAAAGATATTCATCGGATTTGAAAGAAGTTCATGGGATTCAAGAAAAAGTTCATCACATATGAAAAAAGTTCATTGATTCTGAAAAAAGTTCATCAAACTTAAAAAAAAAAGTACTTCAGAACCCCCTCCGGTAGACCGCAACCGTGCTGGTATCACATGGTGTACGTGATCGCATGCATGCAAGCGCACGAAAGTGTGCACACATGTGGGCACGACCAACGTAGGCCACCACGCAAGGATTGAACGAAATCAGACACCAATCCAACGTCGTGTCACGTCCGGCCACTTTTTCGGGGCTTTTTCACCCAGAAAATCGTAGAAAATGCATCGAGCGTTGGAAAAATATGCAAACTGGCGTGCGTGATGCCGATGATGATGCCAGCGTGTGGAGAAAGTTTGGG